CACACTATCGCAGCACGAACGAGCAAATCTCACCGACCATAAACAGCAACCATACGTTAAAGCTACAGCCATAGACGGCAAGCAAACGAAGAGGTTGACAATATGATTGATATCAAAACTTGAATAAGATAATGATCCAGAAAGAGGACGTAGTATTTCTACATCTGATTTCGAATGACACTCTAGGTAGGAGGACATTGTTATAATACGCTTCTTCAGTTAAATCTCTTCTTTCCATCATTCGTGTAAGCTATAATGTATACCAAATTTGAAATCAATAGTTTGACGTTGAAAAATAAAAAACCTAAAAAATTGTTCCGTAAAAAATAACACCCCTTGACAAAAAGAAAATAAATACTTTTTAACTTGTTCCGGCTAGGTACAAAGACCGAAAACCGTACTCCGCACACTCGACTTGAACTAGTTGTCACATGCATTTGGAATTTTGTCGTATGTTTTTCTCTGTTTTGATGTAATCTTAATCTTAATACCTCTTCATTTGTTTTGCGCCACCAAAGTCTCAACGGTCACTTGGGATTCTTCTTCTTTGCCGTCGGAATCCAAAAGCTTCTGATGAATCGTATCCTGGATCTTTGTTACACCCTTCTCCACTGGCCCCATCGCTTGGTTTATCGTAAGAACCACATCCTTCACGACGTGTTGGCCGCCATCAATAACTATGTCCTGTACACTCTCCTTAATGCTTGTGCCAGATGCTTCAACCTGAGTCTCCGTTGTCTCAACTAGACCGCCACCATCGTCTATTTTCACTTCCATCTTGCTCGTTTCGGCTGTTATTTTACCATACTCTGACACTGGAATGTAATGGTAAGGTTCAGCTGGGAAAACAAACAGATGAGCCACAGCTGCAATCGCCATCTGCCAATGTGCACCAAGAAATTCTGAATACTGTAGGAATAGCTCTGTAACGAAAAAGAAAGTTTGAGTTACCTCAATGCAAATGAGAAAATCTTGCAATGCGTTCTGGAATCTTCCTTCTTTTGGAAGTACACGGTAATAACAAAGCAATGAGATCCCGAAACCTTGCCACCAAGTGGCAAACACGATAGCCTTAAAGCTAATGAACTTGGCCAAGGGTTTGATTTCTCTAAGTCGTTGGTGAGTCACGTTATAGAACTGCACCAGGCAAAACAGAGCCCACATCTGGCTGAAGTTGAGCACCACCTCTATGTATGGATATCTACAGATTCAAAGACTCAGCACTACTTGTTCCATCCTTAAAAGAATGATGTATTAATCGTGTTCACATGACATACCCGTAATACCATTTGAATTCTCCATCACCATAGACACCGAGAAGCTCCAACAAAAATGCCAGCAAGGCACAAAAGGTCTTGAGGATCATCTGAGACAAAACATACCACCAACTCAAAAACTGAGCTTGAAAAAGAAGGAAGCCAATTCGACTGACTTACGTATTGGACAAGACCGAATTTCTCTATCACAAAGAGCTCTCGTCCCAAGACATATGGTTCACACAAGAATTCCCAAAACGAATTCCTCTGCTTCTGATTGCTCTCATTTTCCTCCCCTCCTTGTAATAACAATGGGTTTCTTGATTCATTCTCGAGGAATTCAACAACTCTTCTTTCACCACCTGAGCACATGCATAATTGGTTTAATG